CTAAGGTATTCTCTGCTATATTCTCCAATCATGTCACCACCGTGAATAGTGCTCCTTGACATTGGCACTAAGTTGGTGAGTAAAATATGCAGGGTGTATTGAGGGTTTATACAAGCTTATATGGTGGCAGCTGGCTTCCACTCTTCAGGTTCAAGAATTTTCTGTTTAAGAACATGGAATTTTTCTCGTAACTGAGATTTTCTTTTATTTATTTATTAATATGTTTTATATAGATAGGTTCTTTTTCTATAATAAAGCTCTATCATGCAGTGCTAGTAAAGAGAAGAAGTCATATGAAAACTATTGGGTTGTTGGCTTAAATGCAAGGAAGTTGTTTTGTATTGTCTGTAAAAACCCTGACTTTTTCCCTCAGGTAGGATTGCACTCCTCCGACACTTCTTCTAATTTATTGTTTTCTTTTTTTTTTTTTTAGTCGTTTAAGAACTACTTTTGTCTTCTTTACAGGTGATGCCTAAACCAGTTCTCACTCTGCTAGATCTTTCATTTCCCCTTGCATCCTCTGACCTGGGAGCAGAAGCCCTTGAAAATGAGTTTATACTGAATAACATTCATCTCTTGCAGGTTAATTTCGCCCACCTAATCTATCAGTGTTTATGCTCACTATCTTATCAGTTCTTGAGCTTAACTAATTTATATGTCAACAAGTGTGTTTTGTTTTAGAGAATGTCAGTTTTATTGCAGATAATTGGTTTTCTTCTACTCTCTCATCCATTTGGGAAGTCATATTGAATTTCTCTTATGGTCAGTTGCATAAAATTCTTATATGTAAGTATTTTACAGACTCAGAAAAGAATGGAAGAAATTGCAGAAGCTGGTTTTGACACCAGTTTACTTGACGATGAGGCTTTCAATATAGAAGCATCTCAAGATAGATGCATCTTGAGGCTTATTGCGTCTTGCTGTAATGGTGAGTCTTTAAAATTTGTAACAAACTCACGACTGTGAATACAAATTAATTCTGTGGTCCTTTTTCTCTTCAAATAATCTAAATTCTGAAACAGTTGTAAAGTTCTAAGCGGATATCCATGCTTGTGATAATTGTCATAGGTGACAAGCTTGTGAGGGCTACCGAACTTGTGAAGCTTCTATCATTGGAAAAATCAATGCAGGGTGCAATAAAGCTTGTTACTAAACTGAAACTCCCAAATTTGGCAGAAAGGTTCAACAGCATACTGGAGGTAAACCTTCAATAATCAAACAAATCTTTTAGCAGTTCTTTACTTCTATTTATATCGTGGTGTGGTTGTTCACATTTCTCTAATTCGATAATAGGAAAGGTTGCTTAATGAAGCCAAGGAGAGGCTAAGTACTTCCCACATGAACTCAAACGGCAAATTGCCCATCAGAGATGATGTTACAGTTGGCAAGGCCTTACCTTCAACCGAAAGAAGTAAAATGTCAGAACCTATTATTCCATCATCTGCAACATTGTCCGACCCTGCATTTACAAAGAAAGGAAAACCGACCGAGGGAGTAAAACTTGGTCATGAATTACTGCATCAAAACCAAACTTCAAAGGTGGAGAACATCAGGGGCTCAAGGAATATAGAGGAAGTAACGAAAGTGGGCGAAACCAAGATGCTATCACGGTGTCCAGCAAATTCATTGTCAAAGCCTACAAACAATCAGGAGAAAATGCAGAAAGCTGGAGAATTGGATCAGGCGCAACCTCAGCGGCCATCTAATCCTTTTTTCAAGTCATCAATCAAGTGATATTCACCAATGTGACAAAAGAGTGATCACAGATGAGATGAATGTGCTAAACTGAAACCACATCACCCGGTGCATCCTGTAGAAATGATCCAAACGGGTATTTTTGTGGGATAATTGTGCATGTAAGGAGCAAAATTTTGTGCACAATGGTTTAGAACAAACCATGGAATGGGATCTGCATCTGTAAATATGTATTTAGGAAACATAAGCTTCATATGTTATTCAAACACTTTCTTGTGGTAGCTTTATTTTATGATTGTGAGGAAGCAATTAATTATTTTTCTATTTTATTATGAGTTTTCTTTCCTTTAATCAAATGGGTCAAGTTCTTCATGGTATATTTAAAAATAATCATTCGGAACAATTCTATTTTTGGAAAATTTGCATTAAATAAGCGGACAGATTCATATTTTTATAATTTTGGAAAGAACAATACCATTTATATAATCTTTTTATACAAAATCCTACATACAAACTCGCGTGTTTTGATCCAATAAATTTAACAGTTAGTATATATATCAAACATACAAAATTATTATATGTGTTTATAGAAAATAATTTTTATATATAGTATTACTATTTTATAAATTCAATTTTAAATCAATATTTTGAAATGTTAAATTCTAACGAAAATGATAAGAAGTATGCACCCACACGCGGCAAGAAATGCGCCTTGTTGACTTTTAGATCTACTAAACAGCAACAACGATAATTACGAAAATGACAAAACACTCCAATATCTCNATAGTGCTCCTTGACATTGGCACTAAGTTGGTGAGTAAAATATGCAGGGTGTATTGAGGGTTTATACAAGCTTATATGGTGGCAGCTGGCTTCCACTCTTCAGGTTCAAGAATTTTCTGTTTAAGAACATGGAATTTTTCTCGTAACTGAGATTTTCTTTTATTTATTTATTAATATGTTTTATATAGATAGGTTCTTTTTCTATAATAAAGCTCTATCATGCAGTGCTAGTAAAGAGAAGAAGTCAGATGAAAACTATTGGATTGTTGGCTTAAATGCAAGGAAGTTGTTTTGTATTGTCTGTAAAAACCCTGACTTTTTCCCTCAGGTAGGATTGCACTCCTCCGACACTTCTTCTAATTTATTGTTTTCTTTTTTTTTTTTTTAGTCGTTTAAGAACTACTTTTGTCTTCTTTACAGGTGATGCCTAAACCAGTTCTCACTCTGCTAGATCTTTCATTTCCCCTTGCATCCTCTGACCTGGGAGCAGAAGCCCTTGAAAATGAGTTTATACTGAATAACATTCATCTCTTGCAGGTTAATTTCGCCCACCTAATCTATCAGTGTTTATGCTCACTATCTTATCAGTTCTTGAGCTTAACTAATTTATATGTCAACAAGTGTGTTTTGTTTTAGAGAATGTCAGTTTTATTGCAGATAATTGGTTTTCTTCTACTCTCTCATCCATTTGGGAAGTCATATTGAATTTCTCTTATGGTCAGTTGCATAAAATTCTTATATGTAAGTATTTTACAGACTCAGAAAAGAATGGAAGAAATTGCAGAAGCTGGTTTTGACACCAGTTTACTTGACGATGAGGCTTTCAATATAGAAGCATCTCAAGATAGATGCATCTTGAGGCTTATAGCGTCTTGCTGTAATGGTGAGTCTTTAAAATTTGTAACAAACTCACGACTGTGAATACAAATTAATTCTGTGGTCCTTTTTCTCTTCAAATAATCTAAATTCTGAAACAGTTGTAAAGTTCTAAGCGGATATCCATGCTTGTGATAATTGTCATAGGTGACAAGCTTGTGAGGGCTACCGAACTTGTGAAGCTTCTATCATTGGAAAAATCAATGCAGGGTGCAATAAAGCTTGTTACTAAACTGAAACTCCCAAATTTGGCAGAAAGGTTCAACAGCATACTGGAGGTAAACCTTCAATAATCAAACAAATCTTTTAGCAGTTCTTTACTTCTATTTATATCGTGGTGTGGTTGTTCACATTTCTCTAATTCGATAATAGGAAAGGTTGCTTAATGAAGCCAAGGAGAGGCTAAGTACTTCCCACATGAACTCAAACGGCAAATTGCCCATCAGAGATGATGTTACAGTTGGCAAGGCCTTACCTTCAACCGAAAGAAGTAAAATGTCAGAACCTATTATTCCATCATCTGCAACATTGTCCGACCCTGCATTTACAAAGAAAGGAAAACCGACCGAGGGAGTAAAACTTGGTCATGAATTACTGCATCAAAACCAAACTTCAAAGGTGGAGAACATCAGGGGCTCAAGGAATATAGAGGAAGTAACGAAAGTGGGCGAAACCAAGATGCTATCACGGTGTCCAGCAAATTCATTGTCAAAGCCTACAAACAATCAGGAGAAAATGCAGAAAGCTGGAGAATTGGATCAGGCGCAACCTCAGCGGCCATCTAATCCTTTTTTCAAGTCATCAATCAAGTGATATTCACCAATGTGACAAAAGAGTGATCACAGATGAGATGAATGTGCTAAACTGAAACCACATCACCCGGTGCATCCTGTAGAAATGATCCAAACGGGTATTTTTGTGGGATAATTGTGCATGTAAGGAGCAAAATTTTGTGCACAATGGTTTAGAACAAACCATGGAATGGGATCTGCATCTGTAAATATGTATTTAGGAAACATAAGCTTCATATGTTATTCAAACACTTTCTTGTGGTAGCTTTATTTTATGATTGTGAGGAAGCAATTAATTATTTTTCTATTTTATTATGAGTTTTCTTTCCTTTAATCAAATGGGTCAAGTTCTTCATGGTATATTTAAAAATAATCATTCGGAACAATTCTATTTTTGGAAAATTTGCATTAAATAAGCGGACAGATTCATATTTTTATAATTTTGGAAAGAACAATACCATTTATATAATCTTTTTATACAAAATCCTACATACAAACTCGCGTGTTTTGATCCAATAAATTTAACAGTTAGTATATATATCAAACATACAAAATTATTATATGTGTTTATAGAAAATAATTTTTATATATAGTATTACTATTTTATAAATTCAATTTTAAATCAATATTTTGAAATGTTAAATTCTAACGAAAATGATAAGAAGTATGCACCCACACGCGGCAAGAAATGCGCCTTGTTGACTTTTAGATCTACTAAACAGCAACAACGATAATTACGAAAATGACAAAACACTCCAATATCTCCACAACCACAAAACTTTCCCACACAATGAAACTTTCGTAATTTACCGCATAACAACCTCCCCAAAGCCAACAGGCCCACCACCAACTTATCCACCTGACAACCAAAACGCCCTTCAAAATCTATTACCCAAAAACAGCATCTATTTTTGTTTTCTTTGTTTTTCCAAACACAAAAACAAAAGCAAAAACAAAAACATGGCTCAGGTCTCTTCTTCTTACCTTCACCTTCAGCACGAATTGGATGACGAAACCCTAACCCTAGATTCTCTTCCCTACTGGTCTCACCCCGACTTCGACATCTACACTTCCGATACCGAATTATCCGCGCCTTCCTATTCTCGCCGTCAATCCGCCGTTCGTTTTCACGATGACGTCTCTGACTCCGATTCGTTGATTGCCAACACCTCAGATCTCTTCGACCATCGCGAGAATCAGGTTCATTTCGTCATGGATCTGTTTCAACAACGCGTCGAGCAGTCTCAGGTAATTGGTGGTGGTGGTGATGATGATAGTGGTAGTGGGTTAGTCTCGGATCCTTTAAATGGGTCGGGTTTTGGTGTAATTGGAGAGAATAGTGATATAGGTATTGAACATTTGGATGTCGATTTTGGTCTAGGGTTAGGGTTTGGGGTTTTGAATATTCGTGAGAGTAATGAGGATAATTCCCGTAATTTTAGCAATATCAATCTTAATGTTTTTGATTGTAATGAAGATGATTTCTTTGTTGAGAGGAGGGTTTCAGGTGAGGCGGGATCCTCGGGTGTTCGGGTTATTGGGTTTAGTTCAGATTCGGAATCTGATGATGGGAATCAGCGTGAAGTTGCTTTAGGGGATTTGGGTTTGCATTCGGAGGATGAGTATGTGAGTGAAGATCATCTTGATGATGTTACAAGCATTCGTCTTTGTTGGGATTCACTTAATGTGGAGGATAATAGAGAAACCAATGAAGATTTTGAATGGGAGGAAGTTGATGGTCGTGTTGATGAGAGGGAGATTTTTAATACGTTTGTTGATGAAAATGATGATGAAAATTCAATTTCGCTTTCCATTTCACCGATAATTGCCCCTGAAGATGTTGTTAGTGTGGAAAGAGTAGGAGGATTTGGGAATTTGGAGTGGGAAGTTTTGTTAAATGCTAATAATTTGGAGACAAATCCTGAAATGGATAATCATAACGAACCTTATTTTGGTGATCATGATGACTTTTTTCATACTGCAGAGTATGAGATGTTTTTTGGGCAGTTTGCTGAGAATGAGAATGCATGGATGGGTAGACCCCCAGCCTCAAAATCAGCTATTGCCAATCTTCCACTGGTGGTTCTGACTCAAGAGGATGTGGAGAGTAATAATGCAGTTTGTGCAGTATGTAAGGACGATATTGGTGTTGGAGAGAAAGCAAAGCAGTTGCCCTGCACCCATCGGTATCATGGAGATTGCATTATACCGTGGCTTGGGATTAGGAATACATGTCCTGTCTGTCGCTATGAGTTACCCACAGATGATCCTGGGTATGAGAGGAGGAGAACCCAGAGAGCTGCTCGTGGCCAGTGATGGTGACTCATGTTCACATATGATTTTGAAGTTTCTTAATGAGCACTAGGTTATTTAAAGATATTGCTGTTGGGAAAAAAATTAATCTATTTACATGAAGATTGTGAGAAATTTTTGGTATTTAAAGTTTTAGTGGGAGTATAAGAATGTTCAATGACTGCATTGTAATCATGATTTTTGAATTTAAATAATTTTGAATGTATATATTGGCTGTGTTTTTGGCTTTTTTTTTTTTTAATTAAATCTTAGGCACTAGAATGTTTTTGGAACAAGTGTAAAATGTAATATATGCTGTATTCAAAGTATAATTCTTTTTCACTTATTTGTCTTTTCTAATTTGTTGTTTGCTTTGCTTGTCTTTAACGCTTAAATTGTTGCAGAGTCTGTGCATTGTATGATGTTGTTTAGGGTTTCAATAAGGGCCCTTTTGTCCTTGTCAATGGGATCTCTCGGAAAAAGAAAATTTGTTTGGCAATAATCTTTTATATGTTTTAGCATTTTAAGTCAATTGCTGCCACAAGGTCTGGGGTTCAAGCCCTGTCATGGGCACCTGCATGGCCAGTAAAGCCATATTTAACTGCTTCCCAGTGATGGCAGGGTTTGTTGGGAACTCTAGTCTCGAACTTGGGCTTGCAAAGCAAGCGTAGGGGATTTCTGGATTATCAAAAAGAAAAGAAAAAAAAAAAAAAAAAAGTTCAGCATTTTATTTTCTCAGTAACTCATCTCTGTTTGATACTGTTGGTTTCTAGGTGGCATTGAGGTCTGTATCAATGAAGGATAAGCAACTTATTCTTTGCACTGTATTGTTTTCATGTTGTTAGTTCGCCTGCTGCAGGGTGCATCACAATCTAATGTGCATGGCTAGATGCTTACATGTTTGGCAAAGATAATTTGAGGCTAAGACAGCCTCTGCGAGTTATCTTTGTTGCCTTTTGCTTATATTGAAGTTAACATTTTAGTAAGCCTTTATTTGTTTATTTTGTGATGTGATTTGGAAGATGTTGTGTTGGTGAATAAGCGCCAATGAGGTGTTTATACTGAAGCCATCCCTTGATGTTTTGTTCATTAATAGGGAGCATGTTTTCTTGGTAGAAGAGTTTTAGGTTCAATTGCTATCTTAAATACTGCTTTCAAATATTAGTTGTATATGCGAGAAATATAAATTTGGTAGGGTACAAGTTCTTCCAATTTTCTGGTGGTATAGATTTTGGCCTTTTTGTTTTCTCTCTTTCGAAATGGTTTCAGGTTGGTAATGACTGGTCACAACTTAGTAAGTTGAGCTGGAGGAAGTCCCTTTCGCTGCTATGAGCCATTTAAACTGAGTAAAGTGCAAGGGTTTGAAGGCACATCGCTGCGATTGTTAGATTGAAAATTTTTATTTATACCTATAGGTGTCATTGTTTGTGGGGCTTTGCAATTTACTGTCTTTTGGCCAAATAGTCAGAACTTCTTGTTCATCAAAACAAGAAAGTTGCAGGGATTTTCTAGTTCAACAATTGTTTTAAAAGATTCTTTGTTTTTTTTTTTTTTTTTTTTTTTTTTTTTCTGTAGCTTTCTGAAGGAGACATCCATCGATCCAGAGTTTTGCAAGATATGAACTCCAAGAAGCCAAAAGTGACTTTTCAAGCATTTATCACATAGAGTATTCGGATACGGAACTTTTTTTTTTAAATGTCGCGAGAATATATCTTTGAGTAAAGCTATTTGAACAAACTCTCGAACAAAAGAGTTTGTCTTGGACAAAAGAGTTTGTACAAACTGACGTGACACACCAATGAATGTTACATGACATAAGGCTCACATAACATTAATATGATATTAAGTTATGTAGTCTCCAAAGCCGTGTGGCATGATGTCATGTGATGTGCTTACGTCAGTTTGTAAAAACTTATGTGTAGCATTACTTTGTATCTTTCACTTTCCTAACGGAACCTTTACCTGTAACAGTAACTGGTCTGGCTGTTGTCTTTCTTTTGAAAGATGGTAAACCCATTAGGGCATGCCTCTGGTACAAAATGCGAGCTCAGAGCTTTCTCTGAAATCAGCCCATAAACACAATTTCAGTCGTTTTATACCAAGAGTGCTTTGTAGCCAGATTGTTAGCTTTATCTTGGTAACATTTAAGGACAGGAGGTTCTCCCTTGGTATTTCTGTTTTTTCCTTTCTCACCATTGTTTATTGTCTCTCTCTCTCCTATGATTTCATAGTGTCTGTAAGATATTACAAGTTGCTTTGAAATTTTTATAGTGGCTTAAAAATGATGCCATTTGTTAAATAGCTGTTCGTAAAAAATCCAATCCTATTCTGGGAAAATATTCTTCTTCAATAATATTACCAAGTAAAATAGCAATCTTAATGACAAATATAGCTATACGTGCAAGTTAATGTCACCGCCACTCTTAATTGAGAGTAATTTACCACATTTAAATCAAACTTAACTTTAGGCAAATAATAATTTGATTCAAGTAATAGTGTAATTAAGTCATTACTAAATTCATCTATATTTAGATATAAATCAAAGATAGATACCTGGCTAATTAAGTCATACCATATTTGTTTAAAATTAAAGTTAATTCTACAATAAAAGAAACAAGAGTTTGCTTGAATTGGAGCTAGGATGTTTTGTTATGAGTTTAGAAGGACCAAAGTTGTAGCCATAATTTCGTATTAATTGATTGTTTTAGTAATCTTGATTGCTTGATCCTCTTTGATTCTACCAAATTTAGATTAGAAGAAGAAATATGAAGTTAATTAAATGTCTTTTAATTTCATTAATTTTGTCAAAAAAGCTTTACTTGATGACTCTTCAATACTAATAAATTAAAGAAGGTAGTCATGCAATTATTATCATTAATTGGTATGAGTATAGTTAATTTGTTATTAGTAGAAATGATTATTATTAATCTTGATTTGATTTCAATGTTGCTCCCTATAATTAGTGTCTAATGTAAAAACTTGTAACATGATTTAAGTTTTACATTTTTTCTTTCTTTTTCTCTTGTTCTTTCTGAACATTGAAGCCATGGAGCCACATGAATTCAAGCAACAATATGGAGCAAACCCAGTTCCAAATCTTCTTCAATTTCCTTCAACTTACCCAGCATGGAGCTCAAATTTCTCCGGCGGATTCTTACCCAGTTCTGACGACCAGTTTCATGTTCCTTTCCATGTATTCTCTCCAAATACATCGTCTGTCAGCATAGGCTCGACTCTAGATGATGAAGCAAGAGAGAACAGAGTGAGTAACATCAATGAAAGGAGGCTGAAAAGAGTGATATCTAACCGGGAATCTGCTCGAAGATCAAGACTGCGCAAGAAAAAATTAATCGAAGAGCTTCAGTTTCAGGTTAACCAAGTTAAAACTATTAATCATCAACTATCAGAAAAGATCATTCTCTTGTTAGAAAGCAACAACCTTATCCTCCAAGAGAATGTACAGCTCAAGGAGAAAGTTTCTTCTCTTCAAATACTTCTCTCCGATCTCATGACCCCTCTCCGGGGTCTGGAAGAAGTCACTGCCCCCACTGCAAATATGAATAGCCTCAGAGCCGAGGCTTCAAGTCAATCCATTCATCACTAAACCATGGAATGAATATACCCTTTTCACAACTTAGTTGTTCATGTAAATATCCATGAAGGTTACAGTAAGGGCACTTATCATCAGCTGTATTTGGAATAAACTCTACTCTTCACATATGTATGATCATGAAATATTATAAATTCTATTTCTTCTCTTCTGACAATCTATGAAACACATACTCTTAAGGTAAAAGAGAGATTCATAAGTTTGATATAGAAAAGGAGCATGTACAACACAAAATAATCTTCTACATAAAACTGATTGCTCCAAATGGTCTGTCCCAATTTTTTGGGTTTCACAACCTTTACCTGCTCCTGCATTACTATGGGCAGCTACAAGCAATTTAATTTCTTAAGGATCAAAGTTGAATTTAATCCTAGCAAAATTCTCTATTTAAGAAGTCATTTCCAATATTTTTGCATCATTCACCACTGTTTATCACTTCTGACTGACCAATTTTCTGAAGCTCGTATGCACAAATGAATTTTCAATAGCCATTTCTCACAACTTGATGCAAAAAATTAGAGCCATCTGCCCCTCCACCCCAACCAATGAGAAAAAAAATATAGAGAAGACAAATGAGAGGTGGAAGAAAGTTCTGTTTAGTTTCTTCTCATAACGTGTTGGTCTACAGCATCCACATCTGTTTATGTACAATACTTTGAAAGAAAGCAACAAATTGATTTTCAGCCACTTTTCTTTGGCGTAACCCTTCCATTGGGGACATTATTCATAGTTTCTGCAGTTGAAGATGAAGCACAGCTACTCTGATCTTCAAAACCCTGCACTGGGTCTGCAAATGAACGAGTGCAAGGCCACCTAGAAAAAGTTGACAAAACACAGCTTAGCTCATGATTCAGCAAGACAGACTCCAGGTTTTGTAAATACCTGCATGAATTGTGTCATACCTGCTTGATTTTATTGTCTCACCATTTATTGTCATAGTTTCCTCAAATATGTTGCCTGTAAGAACAAAGAAATCCAGAACGGAAGTTTAGTTGATTAATCCTACAGATAAATCAGAAAGTAAGGTGTATTAGAATGTACAGGGCAAGAGGGGCAAAGAGCAGTAGTTGTTTACCCCCATAAAGATTCTTCTTCGAGAAGTATTTTGCCATCAACCGACGACTGCAGTCAGCTTCATATTTTTGGTACTTCTCAATATAGTCTGTGCTATTGAGAACCCTAACAAGAGTGAAATATAATATAGATCTATAAGCTAGTACAAATCAATATATTAAGGTATAAACAGAGTCACTATGTGACTGCGATAGACAAGTTACTCCACTGCTATAACATGTGAACAATTCAGGAGGTCATCATGTGAAAAGGTAAAAATTGAGAGCCTAAGAAAGTGGTTAGCTTTGGTTCAAATTGGACTCGATCAAACCTAAAATTTTTGGATGTAAATGGTCAGGTAATCCATCAGAAGTATATCAAGTCATAAATGCCAATAATTTTTTGAGAAAGAACTCAAGAATGAGACATCATTAACAGAAATCAGAATTAATCATTGATTATATTTAATTTATCCTACATTTACTAACTCTTTGCCATTTAAAGACTCATACGTTGGTAAGAGTGTCACAGAAACAAAAGTTAATCTCTGTAGACTGTCAAAACAATTTAGGATGTAATTCAAAAGGATTCACTAATTCTAGGTTGTGAACATATGCAAATGTGCCTGAGCTGTATGTATATTACATGCACACCAGCACATCATGTTATGAATGTCTACCATAAAGGCATAGACTTGTGCAAGTGCGAGCGAGAGAATATACCAAAAACTAATATCTACCCTATAGAAGCACAAATATGCACAAGAGAGTATCTCAAGACTGAAAAAAAGAATAAAGTTTGAAACGATAAAGCAGAGCACTAATTTCTTCCCCACTATACATCCATTAAAACAAAGAATAATCCTTAAAGGATCAGAACTAGTTAATGTGGTAAAGGAGCTATATTTTATCAAACAAAATATTACCATAAGCACTAAAATAAGAAGAAAAAAATCAAACATGCACAGGCAATCACATATTGGTTAAAAATGATGTTAATTTATTCAATATAAATAAGAAAGAGAGTAAGAGACTAAGTTAAGTAACACCTGCATTTTGATTAGAAGACAAAGCAAGCCATACTAAGCACTTAGCTGTAGCATGAACAGGTAGCACATAGAGGCAAAACAAATGAAAACAAGCAGGCATCGCTATTCATTGCCTTAAAGGAAGTGGATAATTAGACCAATTCAAACAAGAAAATTCCAAATAAAAATGTTATTCCTTTAAATTAATTCATAAATTTTAAATCTGTATCATGCTATTTCAAATGACCATCAATTGAAACAATATTATGAAATGGATAAATGAAGAAAACACATAATGGATCTAAAAATCCAGATTTGCATTCCTCGAATTGAAGATCTATGCCTCATTTCTAGATATTTTGGAAGACAAAATATGGAAAAAGAAAAGGCTAAATCTTTTGGTCTCAGAAAAAAGAATATATCAAAAAAATTTCAAACTCTTAACTATAGAAGATCCTTTTCTTTCAACTAATCACACAATGGTGATAAATATCTTATAATTCACTTAACTTTTGGCATACTTCGAATTTAAAGGTTCCCAAACTTGGTTACCCGTTTTGTCATTCTCCCTGTTGACATGAGCATGCGCATGCCCATGCAATTCCATTTTCAGCAATGACATAAATGTAACAGTTCAGTACATTCAATTACCACAGCTTGAAACTTTGTGTTGAAGAGCAGCAAACTTTACAGCTTCCGGAAAAGAATTTGGAACATTCTTTCCCGGCAACAACATGTTATATACAATTTATTCTTTTCTTTTTCTCAGTCACAAGAATTAATCTCAAGCAGGCTGGTATAATATCCCAAAGAAACTTTGAATTCCTACAGTATATATAACTAGCAATTTAAGATCCATCCTGTGAATCCCAATCTTTTTCTAATTAAATACTGGAAAGAATCACAGAAGCATTATACACGATTATTCGGACAGAAAATTAATTAAGATAACAAAAATATTTAAAAGAATATGATCTCATGTGATACATGCATACGCAGCAGGAAAAAAAAAAATATATAAATCAGATACAAAATTTTCTGGAGAAAAAAAAAAAAACTTACTGAAAATGTTGGGGAGTTGAGTCAGGCTTTTCCTCGAATACATCGAAGACGCCATTGTTGGTTGTAACATCGTCAACCTTACATGCAAAAAAACCCTCAAAATAATCACAACACTAAACACTCAATAATAACATATATGCATTATTCAGAGAGAGGACCTCGCGCTTAGGTTGAATAGGGTGAGTAGCTGAGTTTCGAGAATCGGAGGACGGCGAAGACGATGGCACAGCCGCCATTTGCGGTTTTAGAAGCTGCTCAGCACACAGTTCTGTCTCGTTTCTATATATTTTCCTCTAAAGTCTAAACACTCTTTAGATGGTATCTATTGTATATGTAAAAGTCAAAATCAAGTGGGTGGCCCGTGGCCTCGCCTTCGAATTAACGCCAAATTAAATAACTCACTTTCCGGCTTGTCCCTTCTTCAGTCAATGCTATATACTGTAGTATTAAGTAGTGCTTATAACTTGTGCAAAATACTTCAAATCTAGGGATGGCAAAGGGTCAGAGCGGGCCGGGATCACCATTCACGTTTCCGACCTCGAAACAAAAATGGGCAGTCCTGTCCTTGGCCTGATATCCGCTTTATTCCCCGAAAAGATAAGGCATATCCTTAATTTTGAAAAGGTATTCACACTCAAAATATATATTACTCAATTATAATAGACACATTAAATAAAATATGGACTTTATTAAAGAGAAAATTATCTATTTTGCTTTGTGATTTTTTCACAAAATATTTTATTTATTTAATTTTTAATTATTGCGAGGATTTTTGGCCTGGCCGGGCCGGGCTGAGGATTAGAACCAATCTCGTCCCCGGCCCGAAATCATTGGAGGGACGAAAAATCATCCCAGTTTCCGACTCGTCTCCAGTTTTGGCATATCCCTATTCAAGTCCAAGAGTGCTCCAACAAACAATTTGTGTTCAATAAACGCCATTACATTGTCCTTGAGCCCTATCAAGTTATATATATAAAGTTGAGATCTTTTAACTTAATTTGATGATTTAAATGCATGACACAAATTTTCTCCTATCTAATAAGCACGTAGACAGTGCCTAGAGGCATGAAGAATCAAGGTAAATAATTTTTTTTTTGGCATATTGGGGATGCTTATGCTGATACATCTTCATTTTATAGCCAGAAATCATACTATAATAATAAATATGTCTTCTCATTTACCTATACACTCAACCTTCTAAATTAGGAAGGTACTTATGTGGCAAATTGATTAACGAATCTAAGAATAAAGGGCAGCAACAAGCTAATATCTAAAAAAAATTTGTTCTGCAACTGAGTTTCTCCCCTACCAATAATCACCACAAGAGCAAAAACCATCTCTAAAATGATGAAACCGTTTGTTGTCTCTCACTACTATCTCCCTTCCCATAACCTTTGAGATTAACTTAGCCGCATTATGACAATCTACACAAATCCGCAGGTTCTTGTTAATCCTCAGTGTGACACCTTCAGTTGTCTTTAGCAACCCAAAAGAAATTGCAAGCTTCTCACTATGGCCGCGCAATATGTTTATCTTCTCATCTTCTTCTACTTCATGAAGCACACAATCTGTGTATGGTTTATATCCAATTTTACTAATTTTTTCCTCTAATGTTCTCCACATTCCTCCGATCTCTTCTGATTCTGGTAGTGTGGTATCACTAGCAACAAAGCTGTAAACATTCCCTCCAAGTTCAATCCAACTGCGGCCAGCATCCTTTTGAAGGCCAATCCCCTTCATCGTTTGCCGAACCTTCCTCACATCATCCCACTTCGCTGATCCAGCAAATAAATTTGAGAGCAACACATAATTTTCTGCTTTGGCTGGCTCTAATTCTAATAACTTTTTGGCAACTTTCTCCCCAATATCCAAAGCACCATGGATTCGGCAGGAACTTAGCAATGAGCTCCAGAATCCGGCATCTGGTTCCTCAGGCATCTCATCTATGAGTTTTAGAGCATCATCCAGTCTTCCTGCACGGCCCAGCATATCCACAACACATGCATAATGCTCTAGTTTTGGCTTTACCCCATGGAAATTCTGCATCTGGTTGAAATATCTCAGCCCATCTTCAACCAACCCTGCATGGCTACAGCCCATCAAAATACCAACAAATGTGAAGCCATCAGGCTTCTTGCCCAGTGCCTGCATATTTTCAAAAAGCTCTATTGCCTCTTTTCCATACCCATGTATTCCATAACCCACAATTATAGCATTCCATGATGCCACATCTTAATCCTTTAACCTGTCAAAAATGAATCGAGATTGTTCTATACAGCCACATTTGGCATACATATCTATGATTGAACAGCCAACAAATACATCATCTAGGAGGCTAGCTTTTAAAGCATAACAATGGGTTTCTTTTCCAAGCCGCAAGGCGGATAGCTGGGAACAAGATCCAAAAACACTCATTATGGAAATCTTACAAGGTTGAATTCTATTAGATAACATCTGTCTGAAGATAATTAGCGATTCATCTGGAAGTTTGTTCTGTGAGTAACCAGCTATGATTACATTCCAAGATACTAAACTTTTGTTGCTCATTGCATCAAAAAGAACTCGTGCAGAAGATAATTTCCCACAATGCATGTAAAGTGATAGTAGTGAGATGGCTACAAAAGAATCTGTTTCTAACCCATTACGTAGCACAAATCCATGAGTCTCTTTGCCATACAGCAGGGTTTTCATATGAGTGCAAGCTAATAGGAGGCTACCGATGCTAAACCAGTCAGGTTCTAAGCCTGAATTTGACATTTGACTGAATAATCCTAAAGCCTTTGAAGGATCACCATTTTGAGCATGACCACCAATAAGTGCATTCCAAGAGCTAACTGTCCTCGACTCCATACCATAAAACACATGCTCAGCAGAAGTCAGTAATCCACACTTTGCATAGGCTGCAACAAAAGCATTGGCTACCAATTCATCATTTTGAAACCCATGTCTTAATGAATAACCATGAAGTTCCTTCAAGCTCAGCAGCTCAGACTTCTCCAAACAAATTGTTAATACATTCAAAATTGTGACCTCATTTACCTTAGTTTCCTCTTTTTCCATCTGCATTCTACGTAGAAGATCAAACGTTCCACACACATCTCCTGCCATAGAAAAAGCCCCAATGATGGTATTCCAAGAAACAACATTTTTATCATTGTTTTTATCGAATAAGATTTGGGCTTGAGCTAAGTACCCGCATTTTGAATACATATCAACCAAGGCATTGTTCACCATCAATTCCTGATTCAGCCCCAATTTTACTGCTAAAGCATGAACCAAACTTCCCATTTCCAAATCTCCTTCCATCGCGCATACAGGTAAAACTGTCACTAGAGTTGCAACATCTGGTATCAAACCTTCCTCAGATCCCATCATCTTCATAAAATACTCATAACTTTGACTAACAAAACCATTCTCAGAAAACCCACGAATTATAGAATTCCAAGAAACCGAGTTTCTTTGAGGCATAAACTCATACACTTTCACCATTTCATCAACAAACCCACATTTTCCATACATGGCAACCAAAGCATTACCCACAAACACATCTCCAATCAAACCCATCTTCACAGCCATTCCATGGATAACATATCCAAACCCGACGCTAGCAATCCCTCCACAAGCTTTAATAACACAAGGCAAAGTAAAATTATCGGGCTTCAGCTCCGTACCCGAAATCAATTCAATAAACATGTTTAATGCATCATTATAAAGCTCATTTCTAGTGTACCCACTAACTATTGCATTCCACTGGAACAAATTTTTCGTCTGTAAATTATCGAACACGCCACGAGAATCCAGTGGAGACCCACACATTGAGTACATAGTAATGAGACGAGTGTTGAGAACCAAGTCATTTCTAAACTGGGTTGAAGCCAAAACTAGCTTATGGACTTCTTTACCAATTTCGATGTCTTTTTGTTGGCCACAGGCTTGTAATAATACGCCCATAGCTTCTTTAGCGTGAGCATTGTGCGGGTTTTCTCGCAAGAGAAACAAAGCTTTGGCGAGGTTTTTGGATTGACAGAGATTGGTTACTTCTTGGAGGAAATTGAGATCATGGGTTGATGTATTGTTGCTGGATAGAGGAGTTTGAGTTTGTGTTTGGGTTTGGGGGGTTTTGGTGGGGAAAGAAAGAGAATAATTTGCGTTGAAGGTTGAGCGAAGAGTGAGTTTATCATTTGATGTTCTAAAATTTCTTTGGAAAATGGGAGACTGTTTGTGATAGCGGTGGTGGTGAAGAAGGAATGGATGTGAACGCACCAGAGACATGTTCAGGGATCCTAGTTATCTGGATATGTCTTGTCTGGTTTTACAGTTATATTCTATGTGGGCATGAGCCAAACAAACTACATCACCAGTCAAAAGAAAAAACAAAAAGTCAAATTTGAAATCCGATAAACTCAGACACCATAGGAAAACATATCTTCAATTCTTCGTCATATTCTCAAATATACTACCTTCAATGGATTTACAAAACCAATATGCTCAGAACAAATTCGCAAAACTGCATGCATATTCAAATGACAGCACTATTAATTAACCTTTATTATCGCCAACATAGAAAATTTCACTTTTGATATATCACCTCTGTTAAAACAGTATCCGTAAGTATTTGAGAAGGTCCATCACTTAAATTTAATACCAAGAAATTATGATTGCACTTAATTTGTCCGAAGTAATGAAATATGTCCCATATATTTAACAGGGTCGAGTGTCTTAGCAGCCATTTATGCCCATGCTTGATCTGTTTATCTTCTGAGTACAAATTGATTTATTCTTTATAAATTATACTGCTGCAACAACTTTCCATTATTCATCTTTTAATTATTTTCCTTGGAGTTTTCTTCAAGTTACTTGGAACTTACAGTGAAGTTGATATCATGGATCAAAAGTTCTAGAGGTAAAGTAAAGTATAATATAATATTATTTCTTGCAAGATGCTTATGATATTAAATTATTGTATTATGCATTATAGAGAAATAACTAAATAAATTACGACTTCTTATCTCTAAGCTGAATGTTCAGCCTTTATCATCTGGCCCCCGCGCGCAATATCTGTTCTATTTATTGAGTAAAATTAGGTCCATGATTCTTTTGTCCTTTTATTTGATGTCATGTACATAATATACATAAAATTTTAGCTGAATTAAGTAGATTAGATAATAACAGTTTTAACTATTATTAGGGTGACTTGATGATAAAAAAGCAAAGAGATTTTTTGAGCTTTTGAGTTCGAGTCTCCTTAGGCCCTAATAGGAGTGGCATTTAAGACTCTTATTTAACAATTTCAAAATCTCGAGAGATTAGTTTAGGTGCACGCAAACTGATTCAAACACCTCGTTGATAAAAAAAAAAGAAAAAAAAGAAGGAAGATATTTACTGTTTTGAATTTTATACATATATTTTTTGCACTAAGCATTAAAAAACCTTAGTCAAGCATAAAATGTACATGCAATAGGCCTTCACATTTTCTATATAGAAAAGCATTGATTCGTCTAATTTTACTCCCCACTCAAGCTTAAAAATCTTCCTTTTCAAATGTTTTTCTCCGCGTCGTTACATTAAACATTATCATCACTTCCTCTCTGAATATACAAGCATCAGCTGCATCACCATCCTGCTCCTTTTTCCTCTTAAAGAAATTTAATAAACAGCACGTCGCCCACTTCACCCTCTCTCTGTCTACTTCTGTGTGTCATAAAGCATCCGTCCAAGAGGCCTCAAATTATAAACAAATGGTGTGTCGTTAGGTCATACTTAAACAAATCATTCCATATTTCTTACTTCTTACTTTTTGTTTCTGCTGATGATCAATTCACTCTTTAACTCTCTCCTCTAATAAATCCCTAGAAATTGTTTATTATTTGTACTCGTTAATCATGAAGAAGGATGTGATATATGCATCTTCCACGTGGAATCACAGGTTATTCACTACTTCTCTTCTATTTAAGCACATTTATTTTTTCCCCCAAAGCACAGGTTATTCTTTCGTTTGAATCACGGCGAAAATGGACACAGTAAATCGTTTCAAAGCCTTCTGTTTCTTAATATTCACAAAAATCTTCCAACTCTTGCGGAGAGCTGCCCCATTAGTAGTAGCAGTACCTCCTCCCATTGTTGTCCACCACGAAGTAGTGGACGAGAACTACCCTCAACCGGCTGCAGCTCAGCCGGTTGGCGATCAACATAACCTAGACTGGGCGATGATAATGATCGGCTTTTGTTTGCCATCAGCCGTTGAAATAGCTCTTCAATCTTTGCAGAATAAGCTCCCACCCGTTTTCCATTTTCTTTCTCTTTCAATCATATTCTCCCTCACTTTTGTCTTTGTTGGCAAATTCATGAGTACAAAATTTCCCATGATGGCTCAGTTGCTGGAGAGAGTTGGTGTGCTGTTTGCGGTGATGGCGATTTTTGTAGCCATCACAATTCCGCTCCCATTGTGGCTCAAATGCATCACATGGACCCTATTCGCCGTCTCCTTCATTGCCATCATAATTTGTATAATTTATAGCCATTTCTAAACGCTTATATTTTGTTAAAATTATATGTGTGTTGAACTAATTAATTTGACCGTAGAAAAGCTCGTATGTGAATGGAAAAAGAAGCGGACCACTGCCACTGGACCTGCAGATGAAGTGAATTAATAATACTAGAACCGGTCAATGATTAATTTGACCAAGTTATTATATAGTTTGTTCACGAAGACCGCTTGCTCATGTTAAATTATCAAAGAGTAACACCAAATTTGCTCATTAGTCATTAGTAACACTGGTGATGAGTATTGAGATTCCAATAACTTGGGGCGCAGCCGCATCAGTATATTCATTTTTGTTAGCTGCAACGACCGGGCCAGGGGCCGCCGTAATAATATTATATTTGCTGAAATCACACCGCATGATGAACATAAACACATTAATTAAAAGACTTTATCTATCTATATATATATATTCTTTATTTATTATAAGATCATTTCACAACTTTAGAGGCTTTAGGGTTTGAGAATTGAGATTGATTAAAAATTGAAGATAACCTGAAACTTCAAAAAGCTCCTCAGAGGAATTACTATTGGCAGCTGACGATGTGAGAATCGCGATAACTTTTTTCTCTTATCATAACACCCTTGTGTTTAGTGAAACCAAATTAACCTTTCCCTCCTTTGCAAGAACCCGGGATGCATGCTATGTTACTTAAAAAAGCTCAAATTATTTTTTAATAAAACTAACTAAAACGTTCACACGATGATTTATGGCATCGGTCTCACAAAAAGATTTAGCTTTGATCACCATAAATTAGACTTTAATCAAATGATTATTAAGTTCTTGCTAAACTTAAAACCGTTCTATACTTTTGGCATGAGGGCGGATTTGAATTCACTTTTAAATATTTTCATTTAGGTATTAGTTTTTCACGAAATGTTGAAAACAGATACAAATTTCAATTTGTTCAATTTAAGGACACTTGTCTCAATTTAGATACCCCTATCAAATAAATTTTTTTATTAATAATAAAATCATATTGTATCATTAAAATCAGATGTCAAATTTTGTTCAGTTTGGCTTTTTAGTTCCAACGTGCTAGTACCTTTATCAAATAATAGAAGAAAAGATGATTAAAAGTATTATTGAAGGGTTTATCATTGCAATTTAAAAAGGCATGTAAAAATAAAATACATACAACTATTATTTGAAAATAAAACTAATGGGGGCCATGCATGCATCTATGACCCATTTTCCATCTTAAGTGGAATCGCCATTGATTCGGTGAAAAAGAGTAACAAGACGACAGATTTTTATAGTCAAACAAAACACATAAAAAAGAACTGTAATATGTATCATAATTAATGGAAAAAATTAATTACTGGCATGATAATTATCAAGTCCAGAACTAAAAAAAAATTGAAAATTTCAAAGAAAAAGAGGAAAAAATGCCCTTTCATTCAGGTTCAGGTGCCTAGTTAAATTAATTTTGATGTGGTTTCACATTTAGATGCTGTTACCTGTGTGGAGGCAATAACATTCAAGCTGATCTCACTACATGACAATATCGGACATATCTAAGTCAACAAGAATCAACGCCAACGCATTCTTTTATTCTTTGCATATATTGACAAATCACGGCCGGATTCATATGCTTGTACCTTACCAACGTTAGACAGCATAGAATCAGCAATGTAAACACAGAAAGTTCTGTTATCCCATATAAATAAATATAAAAACAGATTTTGATAACGACTTTAACATCAACATTTCAATTCTTATATGTACGACTACGACTCTGTTGCCATTATTGATTGTACTTAATTGATATTCCTTGATGCAATCAGAATTTGATGGCTATATTCTTTCATAAAGCCAAGGAACAGGACAACGAACGTACGTAGAGGAGATATTAGATTCTGCAATTGAAACAATATGTGGATACCCGGTTAAAGAAATTTATGAAGAGAAATATTTATTATAATAAGTACCTTATTTGGACATGGAGATTGTTGTAATACATGAACATCGAAACAAAAAATATATTAATGTCGGTAAACCGCATTCTGTGGTTAATAAATACAAGCCATGCGGCCTGATTAAGTTTGAATATAAGCCAAAAAGAGAGAAGCGGCGGCTGCTGCTACTATAATCCAAAACATAACGTTTTGGTTGTTAATGAAGTTTTCATGCATAGGTCTTTCCTCCTAACGGTTCCTTGGTTCCTATAAATGAGAATGGAACTTACCCAGAAAATCATGCCAGAGACAATAGGAAAAAATGGACACTGCAGTTCTCAATATTAAGACACACTTTCTTTCTTTTGCAGATCGTTTTAAGGCCTGCTTCTTTTTCTTATCGCGCCAACTTTGGCCTAGGATTGCTCCTGTTCTTGCTGATGAGCAGGGAAATCTCAACTGGCCAAAGTTGATAATTGGATTTTGCTTTTCGGCAGCAGGTGCTCTTTTGCCTGGTCAAATTCACCCTCAACCGACTCTAACCTTCCATTTGTTTTCTCAGGCAGTCGTGTTTGCTTTTGCTCCCCTCTTTGTCGCCAGGTTCATCGGTGAAAGGCACCAATATATCGCCCGAGTGTTAGAGGAAGTTGGCGTCTTCTCAGCAGCCACTGCGTTTTTCCTCTGCATTACGATTCCATTGCCCTTGATTCTCAAGTTAACCACTTGGGCTGTCTACGGACTTTCTTTACTCGCAATTTTTATCGCAAATATCTCTACTGATTAAACACGTTGCATCTGTTATTGCTTTCAGAGGTAAGGCAA